GTGTATGCATTCATGTGTACTAATGCATATATTGGTATATATGTGGGTACATTTGTATATGTGTGTAAATGTGTTTTCATTTCTGATTCTTATTTTCCGTGTTGCATTTTGTTTAGACATGTGAATTTGGCTTTTAGATTTTTTTAAATTCTGTCTGCTTATATGTTGTGACTGTTCATTTTTATGTATATCTTTAATCGTCTTTTTTCTTTGCTTTATTCATAGCCGAATATTTGTTTGTTTTTTTTTTCAATTATATTCTTCTTAATTTTCATCAATTAAACCCTCTTTTTATCTATATATCTTTGCCTGTGTATGTAAAATTTGGATATTTGGTTTGTAGTCGCTTATTAATGCTTGAATCTTGGTGAGTCTGTCTATGTCTTTATGATTATGTGTGTGTGTGACTGCTTATAAATGTTTTTAATTGTATGTATATGTGTCTGGTATTATTTTCTTTGACGTGGATTTCTCTATTTCTTGTGTCGTCCCTGTTTTTACGTGTTTATATATATAAGTATATGTTTGTGTATTATGATGTGATTGTGTCTGTCTTGTCATTTGTAAAACTTCTTCCTCAGTCCACATCATCTGAATTCAGATCCCTTCAATTGTATCTAAGTTGTTACGATGTTTGAATCTGCTTAGATGATCGTTTGCGCTAACTGAAAATTTGGCTTTTCCATTAAAACAATAAATAAACAAAAAATATATGTATATTTTTCTCCATTTCTTCTTCGAATAATTCTATAATATTTTAAACTTAATGCAAGGTTAAATTTAAAATTTGTAATTTCTATTTTTCAATTTTATAGCAAAATTAAAAACTAATCGATTAGAATGATTTCTAATTTAGTCTGACATTAACAATACAATTAATAAATTGTGTCTAAAGTTCGTTGTCAAGCGTTTTTAATTATAATATACTTGTATTTTCCTGTGTCATTGTAGCTCATGTAACAATGTTTCCTCTATTAAGGATAGTTTAGTTGGTTTTGAACTTTTTAAAACTTTTCATTCTTCAATCAACACCATCACTTGACAAGACACCAGAAGTGTTGAAACAAAATTGTAGTGATGTTATAACATGTTTATGTTATAATTTTTGAATAAGTACTATGGATAGATACATGGATAGATAGATCGATTTCAATATTGAATGGCGTGAGAGTGCTAAAAGCAATTCTTTATTAAATTTTTTATTTCAATTTCGCTTTTCGTTGCGATTCGAATTGATATCGTCTAATTAAACCACGGTAATTAAAAGTAAAATTTAACTGGAAAGGGTACGTGGCTCATGCTGATTAAGGACGTTTGGGTTTTTTAAGAAGGGTGTATATTTCCACAGCTAGATTTTTTTACGCAGACAGTATATAGCACGAAATTGTCTATGAAACCAGTTGTTGTTGCACAGACAACAGCAACCAGAACCACGATAGCTTTTTTTAATGCTAAGTTGAAATATGAGTTTAGGTAAAGTTTCTTTTGCTAATGAGCTTAATTTAAATGTTATTTTACGTTTAAATAACCGAATGGGTCGATCCAATTTATTTGTATTTAATAAATTCGAACCTGGCGAATTTAATGATGCACATGGCGAAATTTGAAACTAGTTAATTCCATAGTAAATTAAATGCTAAACACAGTGAACCGTAGGCGTGAGACCCGATTATATTTTTTACAATGATTATACTGAATGAATGTGTTAAATAAAGATTAAATTTAGAAAATAACCTGCGATTCCTTCAGATGTTGTCCCCTAATTTTTTTTTAAATCGAACAAAAATCCATATCTGTCCAGAATTTTAAGCTTCGTAAGACTTACTCGTAATACGTGTATCTTAATTTGTAGACCCAATTATCTCCCTTGCTTAAAACATGTAAGACCCAGCGGAGAGCTCTGTTCTAGGAGTCGAGCAGTTCATTGTGGATTTTTATTTAAAAGAAACAATTAGTCTAGTAACAAACTGAATGTTAGTTTAAAATTTATGCAAAGTTTCAATCCTGGTTCACGGGTTTAGGCGGCAAATTGATTCAGATAGACAGAAACTACCATTTATTAATGTTATTATTTTTATTTGTATGTCCAGTGTTGATTACCTTAGAAAGAAAAAGTCTAATTTGGTGATCTATGATGTGATTTGAAAAAACCTTATTTTTTAACGTTTGTTTCACGTTGTTAAGTTCTTTAAAGAATAGCAAACGCGAGGAGAAATTCTCGTGCACTCTCATGAGGGAATTTAGTAACACATATTTTATATCTGACATGACATTGACTAGTAAAGCTAAGTTGGAAAGCGTTTCTGCTTTATATAACAAAATAGTGAATGTATTGTTACTAGACTCCAGAAGAACGTCCAAGAATTGGTGTTTATTTTGTTGACTAGGTTGATAGGTAAAGCTAAGGACATTTTTTTTTGAGATTATCAATATCGTTTCTGTTTATAGCAAAAAGAAAAATACATAGAAGACATATTTTAGCTTTAGTGATTTTTTTTTA